GACTGTCCGGTATTTTACTTAATTTCTTGACCTCTCGTGTATGCTCATGAAGAGTTGTAATAAACCTGTCACGGATCATATGCTCTATAGTTTATGAATTTTTGTAGTTTTGAGCCTAGTTCCTATTTTCAACAAAGTTCAATGTAATGAAATATAATTTAATGGTGCATGAGTGTACATTGATAGGTCAAGAAGACATTAAATATTATTATTATCAGAACAAATTAGGTATGTGCCATTATAAATTAATGTGCTTATAAACATCATGTAAATATTTATATATATATATATATTTATAATTTTTTTTGTCCATACTATCATTGTATTTACTTAAATGGTATATTTATTTTAATAGAACAGCTAAGTAATTTTAATGATACAATATATAATACATTTATAATGAAGTTATAATTTGACTGCTGAAAGAAAGAGTGTTTCTCAAATTTGTTTTTTTTTTTTTTTGTAAATTTTGTTTTTTATTTTGTATTTATATTTTAGTTTTTTTTTTTAAATAAAAAAACAAAAAGAAAATAAGTATTGTTGTATATAAATTTAAGTCCCATAAATATTATAGTACTATTTTAGCCTTTTAGAACCTATACTTTAAATTTATTTTTGTGTATAAAATGTGAAAAATTAAAATAACATTTTGTAAGCAACAAAACAATGTTGTTAATGGTCTGCTTGTATTGTCACACAGCCCATAACCAGTTGCATAATATGTGTAATATTACTTAAGTAAAATACTCAAGTAATTAAGTATACTTTTCCCAAGAGTATTAATTTTTTTTTTTAATATGACTTGTTTTTTTCTCATATTGATTTTGTCGTTAGTCATTATTCTTCATTGTGCAATTTGCGAAATATTATATCGAAATAAAAGAAAAGAAAATATATTATGTACTAAATGACTGTTTAAATTATTTGAATTATTAAAAATGTTTTCCTTGACAACCAAAAGTATATTTTATTGTCTGCGGGTATGAGATTTACAATTGATAATGTCAGCTAAGACATTGTATGCTTTATATATTATATAATTTAAAATGTCAATAATTAAAATCAATGTAGATTAAGGAAATATCATTTGCTATTTTGGTGCAGTACTCTAATCTCGTGTGCCATTGGTGAAAATAAATCCTTCAATTCGTAAGCCTGATTCTATGAGCTATTCGATTCAAGGAGGCACATCACTGGCATGTGAGCAAACCAATTGTTTTGGTTTTAAGAATTTTATTTCAAACATGTCCTATTAAAATATAATCTACAGGCCTTTACTGTCTTAGAATCAAAAGATGTTGTACCAGTTTGAATATTAAATATTGAAAATATTTTTATAATCAAGGAAATAATATTATGTATTGAATACAAAAGGAATTAACAACATAAATATTGTATTATATTACACCGTTCAATTGCATTTGATGTCCATGTAATGAAAAGCACAATGCCTTATACCACAAGTCTTCAAACTACAACCTACAGTGAGATCTGGCCAATTCCGGACAGACAATGTATCAGACTGCCGAGTTTTAGGATTTTTAACGTTTGATTACAGCTGCAGCTCCTGTACAGCTTAATAGTTTGATTCAAACATTTCCTACTACTGTTTGTACTAATTTAATATCACCATAAAAAAATAAAATCAAACACTCATTTACCTAACCAGCCCATGTTTACGGTAGCTCACCGGCCCATTCGGGGCCTGCATTTGACGCATTTCATCAGATAAGTTTTTACTAATCCGCTAACTACAGTGAATGATTCCAAGATAAACATTCTCTTATTTATTTTTATCATTTTTTTTTTTTTTTTTTTTTTATTAATAGTTTAGTATACATTCAAATTATAGCAAATTTTTTTAAAAGTTCAGGGAAACATGCTGAACAAAATTTAAATCACTCTAATAAATACATCTCTAAACAACAAAATGCCATAATTAATGTTAAGACTTTCAATAATTAATTATGTTAATTTAATATTTTCTATAAAACTTAAAATTTTGAATACAATCATTGATTAATAAGACCAAGATTTTTATGTAAACAAATTTTCTTCAATATTTAACTTAAAACAATCCTAATTGTCAACGTTCCATTATATTGTGTACATATTTTCTATTGTTTATTTTTTGTGTCTCCGGCTGGTCCCATTGAATAGTAGATTATTTTAGTCTCGCATCTTCTACATTCTGTGAAGGTATTTGTTCAAATATTTAACAATTATCTTGTCTTCTTTTATGAGAACCTAATTGGTATTTTATTGTATGATGGATTGATTACAAATTACAATGATAAAATATTATTAAGCTCTATTAATACATAACTGTTGTGTATAACGAATGTAAGCCTTTAAATTACCAATTATATTTATTTATTTTTTATATTGTATCTACTATTATTTATTTATGAAGTTAAAATTTTTCTACTGAGTATTAAGTCAGGCCTTATTTCAACTTTAATTATGACATTTTTTACCTAGCCCAGGGGTGGCCAACCCAAATGATCTCGCGGGCCACATATTTTTTAATTTATTTTTTATTTTTTTATTAAAATTGGTTAGGTAATTGTGTTTACGTTTCAGCGGGCTACATATTCAACATTTATTAACGTAGATAACATAATATAATAGTTTTAATTTATTTATTTCACTATTTAGTGATGTTTGATAAATCTCGCGGGCCGCAAAACTTTTCAAAGCAGGCCGCGGATTGGTCATCCCTGACCTAGCCGGATCAATATTATGTACCACAAGTAACACAGATTACAAGAGCGTTTATAGGATTTTTTTGTGGAGGAAGATATGAAACAACTTTTTAATGCTTAGGTATATAAATTATATAATTAATAATAATCTAAATAATCCCCTAAAAATTGTGTATAATACTTTTAATGCTAGTGCCTGGTATCACAGCCAAAAATAGTCTTTCGTCATAAAATAAAATTGGGTATAGCTTTTGCAACCTTTTGACTTCAACTAGGTACTCTAAGTAAGGAACGATTCCGGTTTTGACGCGACATTTTGGTCCTATTTTAATTTTGTTGTTATTGTGTAATGTATTTAATTAAATATAAACATAAATCATAATATTATGTAGGTAACATATTAATTGTAAATTTGTAATACAATACTATTTTAATATTAATATCAAATAAAACTTTCGAAGTATAAATGAATAATAGTTTTGTACGACTGAGATTAACAAATTTATTATTAATTTATTAATATTATCTAATTTAAATAATAATGTTTGCATCAGAAACAATAAACTTTACAATTGTACTTTATGTTACAGACCTTGAATGACTTGAACCAATCACAAGTCCACAATTTAATACTGCAGTAAATTGGTAATACTAAAAAACCGACATTATGAACTTTGTACTAGGTCGCCATAGTTTTTAATTAATAGTAATTTAAATAGAATATATTAAACATTTAATGATATAGATCTTATAAACCGTTAATGACGCAAAATAATTTATTATATAATTATATTATTTAAAATGTTATATTAATTAACAAAAACAAGTACGAAAAAACAATAGAAATGATGCTTTGATATTTTTACATTATTTAACCTATATGTCTGGGAATGAAGCTAGAGGGAGGAATTACTACATATTATATATCTATATATAGAGCCAAAATGAATGTAATAATATTTTTTTTCGAGTCAGATTCACATCGTCCCGGCTTCTAAAATATTGCAGATCGTCCAATAACGTTTTTTTATAAGTATTATCAGAATATTATGTGAAGAAATAAAAGGGAGATTAGACGATCGCTTTTCTGTACGGTTAGGCATCAAGTATCCTCATCATTGTGTAAGCCACACGATTTTTAAATTTTCGACAACATTACATTTATTATATTTTAAATGTTTAACTTTGAATTATAAAAACAATTAATAGTACATAATTATATAATCTATAATTGTTATCAATTTTTGAGGCAATACTGCCTTGAATGAGCAAGATGCGAATAGGTTCGTGATATAAATAATAGGGTAAAGCTTAAAATTAATGTTTTGTGTTACTATAAATTTTTTACTGTAAAATAATTTGTTGTACTTCCAATAATTCGACTGATTATATTTTTCATAAAAATAATTCTTCATCGTTGTTGAGTTTATGAAGATCAATTAATTATACATAATTCAGGAGAAAAAAATATATATTTAATATTCTACGTTTGTAATTTTTATTCATTTATTTTTATTTTTTATTTTTTATCAATTAACATACAATAAATAACCATCAAAGGACATGCAAGAAATAGTAAAAGTGTCACCGTCATCCATAAATTTGACAAACTTTGGAAACCGAACTGCAACTTCACATATATTAATTTTAAAATTCACACATATATTCGTATTTAAAAAATATTATGGTTATGATTAGTAGAATATTCATTGTTTTATTCGCAATTTTTGTGATTGTGTTTACTTCTACTGACTTTGATGATATGTAATAGCATCGGATGATTTGAGACCGTGAACCAATGAAGATACTCTGGCATCTCAGGCTGCTCAACAAGGTACTGATAAATTTTTAAGAACTCTTCTCAAGTAGGTACGTTCTCAAAAAAGTGATAGTAAGAGGAGCCAAATATAACACTACATATGTTTAAAGATTGCAAAGTGAAACCATAATACCTAACCATTTAATATTAAATCATGTATTTGTTATTCTTAACTTAAATTGCTGTTGGTATTTTATTCGATACTTAATTTCAACTTAACCTGACTCCTGTACGATCATACCCATTCGCAAGTGCACGAAACCAACCATGCGAGTCCTTTTTCTACTGGTTAGTCGTATCAATAATAAAACTAATAGCATACCTGCTGTCGGACTTGCATCGCACAACATCGCTGAGGTTGTAAATAATTGTGATATTGTTATCGCATATTACACAACTACATTAATAAAACGCAATGTTTGTACCATGGCTAAATAATATTTAGCCATGGTTTGTACGAGTTACCACTTTGTCAGTATTCTAATCTCAGATTTTTATTGTCTTCGGATTGCCGCGAATCGTAATATTATTATTATTGTGCGTGCACGCGTGCGTGCGTGTGTGTAGTGTGTACGTACCTACAAGTTATTATTATTGATATTTTGTAAACGTCTCAAGAACAATACATATCGTGCCCGATTATCAACATCAACGTTAAAATATCGTAAATCCAAAATTATAAACACAAAGATGTAATTATTTGTATTCTAATTATCGATTACCGTTTCAAGTTTTCGGTTCGTTGATTACGGTATTTTATTTTTATAAATTATTTCATAGTTGTTATTATTAATTTAAGCGCGGTAATTTGTATTATTCGGTGATTCGATTGTCAATAGTCTAAAAATAGCGTATTGGTACGGTTTACTCTTCCGACTTCCACCCGGCACCCATCAGTCGCACAGTGAACAGTGGTCATTTACTACACTACACTACATTCATTACAACATTTACAACGCAATACGCATTGATGGCGTCGTCGTCTGCCGTAGCGATCGTCTACGATTTTTGTCACGAACGACCACGGATGTGCTGACGTCTGACAACCGTACATCCCTTGCCAGACGCCAGTGAAAACTATTTAGTAATATCGACAACTCGGAAACCCACATTACCACACGACTTACCTACCTACTGTAAGCTTTACGGTTTCAATAATTATTTGTAACGCTTTCGGCCGAAAAATCGACCATTTTACCTCGTCGATAGTGTTGTTATTGCGATATTTCCGTTGTTGTGAGTTGAGATTTAAACTTTTCGCTCTTACAATATTTTCACGTTGAACACTGAACTCGCTTTCCGACAACTATGGAAACCGTTCGCGAAGGAGCCCTTAAACGGACGTTGGATGAAGCCGACGACGGCGACGGTGTGAAAAAACTGAAAACCGACACTGATCAGTCGTTGCCAATGGTAGAAAACATTAAAAATATAGATGACCCGAAAAAGTGGAATTTGCTACCTTCAATTGTCTACGATTTGCTCGCGCTATTGAAGAAAACAGAAAAATTCAATTCTGATGAAGACAAACAAGTACCGGTATGTAAACGGGCAATTTTTCGTTGTTGTACAATAATTACCTATCTTTAAAAACAACGAGCTTATACCTACTTTGCAACATTAATCACCATTCACCATCTTTAACGAATTTGTTTTTAATTTTCTGGTGCTCGCAGTAGTTAACATACTCGTATATGTTCAATGATGTAAAGATCATTATTATGTTCAATTCCCTTAACGACAATTATTTCGGTCTGCCTTACTAACAATATGAATGTTACAAATTCTGTTTACATTTTTTAATTGTATTGATAGATACATATATTTTCTAAACTTGTATGTCTGTATTTCTATATACTCTGGGTAAAGATTGTATAAGACAAGAAATATACCATCATTATTACAATAATTGTAATTATTTGGTAATATAGTAGACACCTATTTAATACTGAATTTGAGTTATGTTTAATATCATATTGTATTTCTTTGGTTTTAGAATTTTGCTAATTAAATAGTAAATGTTATTGCCAATTGGTTGTAAATACAAATTTGTGTACATGTTTATGACATTAGATTATATAAAAAGATTACATATAATTATTGCTATTAATTTTTCCTAATTATTTTTTTAAGCAATTTCAGTGTTAGTTACTATCCAGTTGCATATTTACATGGTGGATGAAGTAGATAAATTTGCTTAACTTTGCTTTTTTTTTAACATTACTTAAATTGATATGTTTATATTTTTTAACATTATTTTGTTTCTCTTGTCAGGATGAACTTGATAATGATTTTATAGAAGATTCTAAAGTTTTATCAAATCAAAATTGTCAAGAAGAACTTTTAAACAATTCTTTCAAACATAATAATTTGAAAGAAGCTGATAGATGCGATAAAATTAGTATCGAGGAATCCAATTTAAAAGTTCAAAATATTACAAAAGTTTCCATCCAAAATCTCAATAAATTAGATTTCTCATCAAAATGTGTAACAGAAAATGTTCCAGAAAAAGTACCATTAATTACAAAAGCTTCACCAGTTCAACTGTTTGCAGAGAATACTGATGTTCACAAGGTAATTGTTTTTTAAATTTATAGTAACTATAATCTTATAAAATTACCTATTTATAAAAATGATTGATAAAAGTATAAAATGTTATAATTTAAACACAAGTTGAATTAGAAGATTTATTTTAAAGATTGATTTTTTTGGTAGAATAAATAAATACAGTGATTTTCTAACCATTTTACTTTGGTATTTTATATTAGATTTAATATAATATACATCACATCAACAGGAATGTTTGCTTATAACTTATTAATTTGACCGCTAGGTTCCCTTTAGTAAAATATTTTGTTTTATTCGGTCAAATTTAATTTGTCAGGAATGTTGGCAATCAGCGAAATCGGCATGTATATCAAATTTTGTGTAAAATTTAAAATATTTTATTAAGTATTTATTAAATATACACATTTTATGTAATTATTCAGAATTATGCAATTATGCAAAAATAAAATTAACAGCAGAATTTAATATTATGAAACGCCAATATATTTAATCAGAATTATTATACATCAATTGTAAAAGAATATGCATTTACATAAAAATCCAGGCCCTACTAATAATCATTGATGTTGAAACCTTAATTTAATATATATATATGCATATTAAACTGTTTATTAATTGTTCTTTTAATTTATTTTTTTAGTTTGAACAAATTAAACACGAATCAAATAGAAAAACTAATGTTATCAATAAGCAACTTACAACTGAATGCGATGTTTATGATTTATCTATGTCTACAAAAAATATTCATTGCACAGATCCATCCACAAATGATATTTCTAAAGCAATTATCTCTACAGAAAGTGTTTCTAATGCAGCTACATCTGCAAATTGTATTTATAATACTCTCCCTCTTACTTCTGAAATTGGTATTTCTAATACTTTTTTGCATACATCTACTAAAAGTATTTCTAATACCCCTATTCTTACATCTAAAATTAATATTCCTAATAGCTCTTCACTTATTTCTACAAATAGTATTTCTAATTCAACCACGGTTTCATCTACAAATAACAATACAATAATTGTATCTGAGAATAGTGCTCATCAAGTTATTTCTAAAACAAAAAATATTTTTAGAGAGCAAATGTTTGAGCTTTTAAGAATAAATTGTTTTGAAAGTATTTCAAAAATACCTTTAGCTAAACCATCTCCTTGCTATTGTAAGCATTGCATAAATGTGACTAGCTTACCGATAAAACAATCGACAGTTTATAATTTTTTATTCGAATCAAGTAATGATTTAAATGACAATAACTCATATCATGATGTGGGGTCATCAAATGTACCAGATGTTGATCATTTTATTTCTGGTACAAATGACTGTTATTTTAACCAATCAAATAAACCAAATAAATATCAAAAAACACTAATTAATGTAGATCCTCCAAAAAATAGTTGGGTAAGTGAGTTAACTTCTTTGATTATTAAAAATGATTCCAAAAAATATGAAACTAATAAAATTAATGCTACAAAAAAATCAAACCCCATAAAAAGTGTTATTAATAAAGTACAAAAAGCCACTCAACATATTAAGTCACATCTTTCATTTTGTAACAAATGTAAAAGATCAAAATTGACTAAATCTGATATTTGTAAATGTACTGCATCTAAAAGCAAACCTTATAAGTTTAAGAAATAATATATTTATCAAATTATAAATCTATAACTGCATTTATTAATATACTATTTATTTATTTATTATTTATTTAATTTTGTAAAACTGTTGTTATTTTCTGTCAAAGCATTGTGTATTAAAAAAGTTAGAAAATGTATTTTTAATTATTTTATTCAACTGACTTTAACCAATAAATTATTATTTATTGTGTTAAGCATTGCTTATTAATCTGTTTAATGTAATACTTTCTTGGCAATTCTACTCTTCAATGTGTGGAGGTTATTAAATACCTCTAGGTTCTTATTTTACATCCATTATCCATTGTATCTTTAAACACCGTAGTGACATTCACTGTTGAAAGAATCCTTAAGATACTCGGGTTCATTAAACATCATAACTCGGCTCTCTTTATCTCCACATTCTGTCTTGGCACTCCATTTCAGCTTGGTTTCTCTTGATCCTTGAGTATGAGATTATTTTTTGGTATTCATATATTTCTTAATTTTTTAGATCAACTGCAAATTATTGAGCAAATTCAAATCTACTTTCTTTCATTTACAACATATTATAAATTGATCATCACTGCGTGACTATAACAAAATACACTCTTCTCTGGATATTTCATTGATGACTTTGCGACATGTTATTGCAGAAATTGGATTTATAACTTCACATTTGCTTCATTGGTCCATACTATGAATATGATACTGTCTTTTTGACAATATTATTTTATTTTATTTTTTTATGTATTAAATTGGTTGGTGCGTACAAAGTTTATTACTATATTAGGTATTGTGGATTAAGATTGATAAGGAGTTCGATAAAAATATAAAATTCAATGAAAGGTTCGTTATTTGAAAGTATTAGGATAAAGTTGAACACTGGATCAGAAAAAAGATTTATTGGGAATGAGTGATGAGGAATGGCTTGTTAAGATTTGGGTGAGAGCTACAGAATTAATTTACATGTATAAAAAATAATAAAATTTCGGGGAAAAAACCAAAATTCATATTTTTAATAGGTTCTTATTATACATATTCAATTACAGTCGTAATTAAAGTCATATATTTTTGTGTTGGGGAATTCCATGTATTAGGTACCCACCGCCTAGTTTGTTAGTGTGTGTTGGATCTCATATTAAATTGTCAAGAATCTTAATCCAACAGATAATTTTTGAACGAAATTTATAGAACAAAAAAAGAAACTAAAGAAATTGAAAGTTTTTTATGCCTAAAAATAACTCAAACAGAGTTAAAACATTTTTGAAAATGTTATCGCATAAGTAATAAATTGATAATAAAAACATTTTGTAAAAATCATTAGTACCTATCTAACGCCATTAAGTAGGTAATTATTAGATGTTTCTATTGAAAATGTGAATTAATTCGTAATATCTACCTGAATACGGGTCCATGAACACGAGAATGAAAATTTTTTTATTCACATATTTCACATACACTATTGATATAAACATACGTATTATGTGTTTACATAGTTTTTTACGTGTTAATTTGTTCAAGTAATTGTTAATCCGTTGTGTAGTACGGCAGCTCATGACTTTATGTGCTGCCAGTGGGCAGTGTCTAGTAAATAAAGTGATTATTTTCTTCTATCATATAAAAATAAGACTAGTACCTACCTATCACTGTTTTATTATTGTTTATCAAAGTTTTATCATAAAATCATTTACCCATTAAACCGCATAGACAGTGTAATATGTTATAATTTGTTTTTCTGTTTATTCAATTTACACAATTATTAAAATTATATTGTTTTGGAATATCAATAATTTATTATTTTCTAATACAAAGAATTTTTCATTCGTTATTTTTTTATGTACATATTTAATTTAATTAATCAAACTATATATTGTTTCTACTTTTACTTTGCTTGAAATTTGTTGTAAATGTATCAAATACTTAGAGAAATTAAATTTAACGTGCATTTTGTGTCAATTAAAATAATTTAATTGTTAAATATTTACATGTTTTACATTATTATGAATTTAAAGAATACGCTAAAATACGTCAATACGTGAAATAAAGAGCTCTACAAATTAATAAAGTAAATTCTAATTTTAAACGTATATAAACAAACATGGCGTGTATAGAGTTTTGAAATTTTTGAATTGAGAAATTAGCAACTTACGAGAAGTCTTTGTATTGAATTTTCAAGCATTTCTACCACAAAAATAATTATTAATCGACATTTATACATAAAAAAAAAAAAAAAACTGAAAAAATTTGAAATATTCTACGCTTATAAATTGCTCAAAAATTGTTGAAATGTTTGGAATATTTTATTGTAAATATGAAGAGCAGATATAAACATTTGCTATAAATTTCAAGTATCTGCGGTTATTCGTGTTACATTAAAATAAATAAATACATTTTGTTAAAAATTATGTTTGCGTAAAATTTTTCATTTTTATTTTTTGTTTGTTTTCCTAGTTATGAAATAAGAACTGGGAACTTTAGTCTGACTTCTCTAAACTACAATTTAAATCTTGTTATTTATCCAAAACTACTCCCTTCCCATTTTTGATAATCAAAGTATTTTATCGACAACGTATCGAAAAAAAAATAAAAAATTATTGTGAAGTCAATATGTTCATTGCACCGTTCAAAATCTTAAAGTTTATATATTATTCATAATATAGGGTACAAACGGATTAAGCGTTAATCGGTATATTATTGTTTATAATAGCTTATTATTTAATGATTACAAAAATAACATAGGTGCGTAATATTAACAATTTCTTGATCGGTCGATTTTTCATGTGTAATAGGATATCGATGATTATAGCGAATAATGTTTTAAAAACGATAATTACCCATAATATGATAAGCAAAATAAATGATAAAATACATGATGTTTTATAATAAATAATATTTAATAATTTGTATTGAATGAAGAAAAGTGTGATAATGTGATATACGATTGAAACATATAGAATATTTATTGTTAAATCATATTATCTACAAAATATCAATTTCATATAAATCGATATGTCATATTATTGTAAACAAATTTTTTTTCACCAACTACCTATAGTCGGCTAGTCGCTAACGTTGCAAACACAGCACTTGACATTTTTCGTGCAATTTTCTAAACAATCTGAAATCGAAACGGTGCTATTAGGATTTTCCAATTGCGGCTACATCGCTTATCTTACGGTCACTATTTGTCGGCAATGAACAGTAACATTTTGAATCGTCGTGATAGTAACTGGTAGACGACTTGTTGTCATCGAACGGTCTTTCAGGATTTGTACTCGTTGTGCTCGGTCGATGAAACAAATGCGTTTTTTCTTCAAAATTTTCCAACAGTTTCGTCGCTAATTCACAACAGTTTTTACACGTCAGAGGCGTGTAATCTTTGTTTTCAATTTTTTCTTTCCAACGCGACTTCCCATCAAGCGTTGATTTCATACTATCAATCATTTTTACATTAGACATTTGCGGTAGTTTATAATTGTAACCATTAATCTGAAAAACAATTGTTTCAATTACCTACTTGTTTTCGTAATTTTTGGTAGGTATGGTATCCAATTGCTACACTATACGTCCTGAGTGCATAACGGTAGTAACGGTCAGTTATTAATTAATAAGTAAGTATGGTAAGTATAAACATTATCGAATAGTATTGATTTTGTAGTGATTTAATCTGGTATAGCCCCGTTCAGATTTACATGTACTATTGCCCAGTTATAGCCGTGGCGACCACTGTATGAAAAATGTTACTCGTTTACATTTATCAAACTACTAATGAACACATTGATTTAATTCAGTGTATTGCCATTTAGTTTTAATCGATTAAATCTTTTAGATATCTTTTGAAAACTCGTTTTAATTAATCTATTCTCTCTTTCGGAATAATTCAAAGTTTTGATTCGATTTTATTCTTTTGGTTGATCAGCGATTTACCATTGTATATAGGTATCCTTATCAGTTGAATAGAGTTATAGCGCTGCACTACCTCTATCATATATTTTGGTTGCGACAATTTTCTAGTTGTGTGCATTTTAATGTTAATTGGTAATTGGTGTGATCTAAAATAATATACTAATGTCACTGATGAAACCTCTATGAAA